TTTCAGAAATAGTAAGAGCAAATTAGTAACCTTGTAGTTTCTGCTAAGCTGTATGTATCTGGTTTGACTCCTATGTTTTGAACTTAGTTTTTCTCAATGTCCATTTTTAGATGATTTTTAAACTAGAATGTGATACTACATTACCTACTAGAAGAAGTATCTTACAAGAACACAGTACTTATGTTATGAAACAGTGATAGGCATGACATTATCTTGAACCTTACAAAGATACAAATAATCTTTTCCTTAGCTTAACCAAATGGTTTTTACTTCACTGATTTGGGTTGAGAGAAGGAAAAGCTGGAATAGACCGTAATATCAGCTTCCGGCCATTACTTCGTTTCCCTAGGATTGAGCCCGATTCTGAGGAGCCGAGATTAGGGGGAGAGACTCTCTTGCTGTTGGGAGAGATGGCCTTGATGGTAGCTATAGGGGAATTGAGGAGAACATCAGGCATATCTTCTGTTTTGTCTTCAGTCACGGTTTCAAGAGGCTTCTTCTCATTCCGTGACTGCGTCAAATCACTGTCTGGTTTTCTGAAAATGGAAGAACCCGCGCCAAGGAAAAACTGTGTTGGAGGCAGTCTGTTCTTAGACAAGAATGGCTGATGAACTACCAAATGCCTGCAAATAACAAAGGTAACAGAACATCAGGAGCTGTCTTATTTGTATATTGTCTGAAACATCGATAGAATTACCTGTACGGTGGCAGTGGTGTCGAAGGTTGATCAGAACTTGAATTCTGCTCCACTTCTTTCGACACCTCGGAGTTGTGCTGGATTTTTACTGTTCTTTTCTCATATGTCTCGCGATCCTCCTCTTGTCCGCTCTCCATGAGAACAAGTAAAGACCCTGAGATTGTAATAGTGTCAAATCAAAAAACATTTGGGATAATAAATGGTTACGGGAAAATGTAGCTAAAAAAGCTAACCATCTTTTCTGCCGAACGCATTCTTACATCCTTCACATCTACAGTTTATGGAACAGCCGACTCCACCCTATAAGATCATCAGAAACAAAGTATCTGAATCAGACCATGGAAGATCACCTACGCAGATGAATATAGTATAATGATGACTATATGATGAAAGAAAAACCTGATAGCATTCACAATATTTCTTCAGACAGCTCGATTTCTTGCAGTTGCAGCCTCGTTTATGTCGCGCTGAAGCTGGAGTTTTGCTTGCATCATCCTGTGGGTGATAACAAACCCATCACTAAGATAATG